ATTGTTGCATTTATTTCTTGGATTGCTTGTTTTCTGATTGCCCTCTAGAAATGTAAGCTCCAAGAGGTGAGAAAATGTATCCAACCCTCACTTCTGCCTCTGTAGCCCCTGGAACAATACTTGACATAATTAATTGTGGTCTGAACATTGGTTGAATAAATGGATGAATAGAAGAGGTGGGTTATAGCTCTAAATGTGACACAGAATGAAACATTTGAAGAAAGGAAAGAAACCCAGCATGACTGTACCAGAAAGAAAAGGAGAGAGTTGAGTGGTGGGGTAAGGATGAGGAAGTAGATAGAAATCTAATCATGAAGTCTTTAGGCCTTTATTTTTCAAACTGTTGCGGGTGAGTCATGACATCAATTCAGTGGGCTGCTACCTGCATTTAAACAAATGAAATAGGAAAAAAAAAAAAAAGAACAAGCAGTGTACATCGTTCTTAGTAAAAGTATCATATTAAACTTGTTTCCGTATTTAGCTTGTGTATGTGAATGTTTGTGTGTCATATTGTGATAGAAAAAGGTTATCCTGCTTTGGTTTACAGTAAATAGGTTTGAAAACATAGTTGGAGGCTGTGTAAAGATTTCCGACTTTCTACGATAGGAGTAGAAACTCATGGAACATGCTTTCATAGAACAGTAGGGTTCAGGATTCCCTCAACTGAAGACATTGATTCCATACAGCATAGCAAGCACCACAGGAGTGTTAAGTATCATGCTAGGCTGTGCTTATTGCTGCCTGTAGATTACTTGTCAGATTTCTTGAAGGCAAGGGGTATGCCTTTCTCAGTGCTGCATTCCCAGCACCAGCACAGACTAGGTAACTTTGCAAAGACATATTGATTGAATGAATGAAAGATTTTTTGGATAAAACTACTGTTTAGGAATTCAATGGCTATGGAATTCAGCAAATGCTCTTCTTCTATGCCACCGTCATTAGTACCATTTTTTTGTTGGCTGTTTTTATTGCGGTGCTATGTATCACACCCAGGACCTTGCACCTGCTAGACACAGTACCACTGAGCTACAATCCCCAGCCCATGCATTGTTTTTAACTCAAAAAACTCTGATGAGAACAATTACCATGGTCCTGTTTACTTCTTGAGGTTCCAGTATGAATGGTGTGAAGTCTGGAGTCTGCAGGGCCACAGAGTTTCATAATACATTTGGTTTGGGCTCATCATTTGTTCCCAAACACCTTACATAGTGCAAATTATATTCTGCATATTTGTTTGTTGGATGATAAATGCATCAGAATTTTCTCATTTTCCACAGTCACAACAATGATTACAATAGTACATTTTTCAAGTGACTCTATGACATTTTTATTAATCAGTCGCTGTGAATTTTGTCTTGAAGGAGAAAGTGATATGCATTAAGTATTTATTGATATCTTCCATTGTAATTAATTAATTAATTTGGTCCTTATTAATATTGAAGGTATAGTGCTATTCACCTTTATGGTAGAGTAACGTGGGTCACAGGATGTGAAATTACAATTAGATACCATATCCATATCGTCATTGTCAATAAATGCCGTTGCTTCCATGAGGAAAGTGATGTGATTTTTCTCTGAGGTGTTGAATACCTGATAGCACTCTCCTGGCATAGCCTTTACAACTACATGGACGTTTCAACCTCTAGAATGGGAGGAATTACTACTACTGTAGCAGTTTAAAGGTCTCATGCTTTTGGGCACAGGAGCTTTGTGTGGCCTATCAGATGCTTGGGAAGAGGATTTATAATCAGAAATTAGTTAACTTCTGAGAGTAATGATATAAGGGAAATATGGATGGTTATAGTGAATCACATGATTTTTTTATTGCGCCACATGTAAGGCTATATCCCACCAGCAACTCTAGAGTGTTAATTGTGTTCTGACTCAGGAACTGCTTAGACACACCTTGAGTTAATCAGCATAAAAACATTAGCTATAACGGTAGATCAAGTCAGTGCTGATCATGTTAGTAAGATTAATAAGATTAACAGAAATAGCTCAAAAAATCCTGATAATCAGAAGTGCTAAATAGGATCATATTACCTGGTGTAGATATTTATTTCTTATATTACAAATATCAGAATCACAAATCACCTTATTGTAGTTTGGCCTGTATCTTTTTATACTGTTACTTCTTCAATTCAAAAAGTTGTTTCAAGAATATTTAGAGACCAATCAAAGGCACAGTATGATACAATAGTACATGAATAATCATGTTTGAATGTTGGCAATATGTAGATAATTAGGGAAAAATAATCAGAGGAAAAAGAGAAACAGTATTCCAGAGTAAGATGGTGCCATGCCTGGAATATGGGTTTTTTTCCTTCTGAAACCAAGGTTGGAGTTTAATCCCAATTATGAAAAATTAACAGGGTGGAAGTTTAATGTGATTATAGTGTACAGAGGTGTGGCCTTGGGCAGTGACTAGAATTAGATAAGATCATTAAGGTGGAGCCCTCATGATTGAATTCTGGTGGTTTTGTGAGAGAGACTGGAGAACACATACATGCTCCTGTGCATTTTCCTGAGATGCTATGTACTGCCACAGGACTTGGTCAGCAGGAAGACCATCAGCAGATGTGGGCCCTTGACCTTGGCCCCAAACTGTGAGCCAAAATAACTCTTGTCTTTATATGTTACCTAGTCTCAGGTATTTCATTATCATAGTGAAATGTTTTAATACAGATGGGGCAAGGAGTGAGTATGAACAAGCTTATGAATGCATAGAAAAGAACTTTACTTGGCTTGATTAAAATGTGTTAGCGTAACTGGGCTTGAAAATTATTTCTCTTAGTTGTATAAATGTAGTCTCCCATCGATTCATTCTCTTATTCTTTCATTTAGCATATCTGTGTAAAGTGTCCATCTGCACCTACATTGGGTCTAGGAATTTTACAATAAATAAAACACAAAAGCATCTGCCTTCATGGAGCTATTCTAATGAAGGAGAGAGAAGATATGGATTTTTAAAAATACAATAAAAACTGCAGTAGATGTTAGTAATAAAACAAGAAAAGTGAGGTTTCTGCCAATTTTAAATAATATGACCAGGGAAGGCTTCACTGGAAAGAAACCTGAAAATTCATGAAAATAATAGCCAAATCCAACAAAATAACAGAAAGAAAGGTGATAGAGTCTTAGTCATCTTTGTGCTGCTGTACCCAGAATTGACTACATAATGGGTAAAGAACGGAAATGTACTACTTGCAGTTCTGGATACTGGAAAGTCTTGATTTTACAAATTGATTTTAGATGCTGTATTCACTTTTAGTCTGATGAAAATGCATGTTGAAACATAAAATATAATATCAGTATAAGAAGTGATTATTGTAAATAACAGTCTTACTTTAAAAGATGTCTTTTACTGATTAAAAATAATGATGACTAATAGACCAAAATGAAGAAGAGGGTGTGTGTGTGTGTGTGTGTTTGTGTGTGTGTGTGTGTGGTGCTGGAGATTGAACCCAGGGCCTTTTTCATGTGAGGCAAGCACTCTACCAACTGAGCTGTATCCCCAGCCCAGGTATTCTTATTTTTGATAATTTTAAAATAGGAGACTGTGGGTCATTTTTACCTTTCTTTTTTATTAATTTATTTATTTTTTAGTATTCGGCGGACACAACATCTTTGTTTGTATGTGGTGCTGAGGATGGAACCCGGGCCGCATGCATGCCAGGCGAGCGCGCTACCGCTTGAGCCACATTCCCAGGCCTTACCTTTCTTATATTTCTGCTTCATAGATTTCACATTAAAAAATGATGAAGGGAATGAATTTAAAAAAACAATGGCATATGAGGAGAGCCTATTTTTGTTAAAAATGTCTCAAATTCTCTCTTTTCCATTTACTCTAAATATATGAAAATATGTTGTAATAGCTTGGAATAATAGTAATGATTGTCCTTTATTCTTCATTTAGTTCAGCAGTTTGTTATTGAAACAATGAGCATGGAACACTTTTTATAATTTTTTTAAAAAGGTGATATTTTAAAAAGAAAGAGTGAGTCATGTGCGGTGGCGCCTGCCTGTAATCCCTGCCTCCATCTGAGGCAGGAGGATCACGAGTTCAAAGTTAGCCTCAGCAACTAAGTGAGACCCTGTCTCAAAATAAAAAGGCATGGAATGGTTAAGCATCCCTGGATTTAATCCCTGGTACCAAAATAAATAAATAAGTCGTTAAAATTTTAAAAGCAAATGTGTTTTATTCTGAAATAAAGATATTTCAGAATTTATACACTACATAAATAATAAAAATATTTAAATAGATGTTCCATATTAGATGTTACTTATAGAATGTTGCAGTGTGTGTGTGTGTGTGTGTGTGTGTCTGTGTTATTGTATAAAATTTCAGGGAAAAATTTTGTGATGAGATAACAAAGATGTTCTTTGACTAATTTTTATTTTAATTTAAATAATATGGAGTAATTGTGGAAGAAGAGAAAAGAAAGTACAAGAGAGTATTTCTCTAATAGAATATTTTCATATAACTGCTTCTAAAATAAACTGCTGCCTTATATATAATGAACAAACATTTTTTTTTAAAAATGTCATTACTAAAGTTCACATTCAACGTGAATGTGTATTTTAAATTCCTAACAAATAGCTAAGGTAAAAGAATCTTTATTTCTTATTGTGAATTTGTATAATGCTGACCAACTGAAAAAAGAAACCATTATAAGTGGCACCAAAATAATTTCAGTGTTTCGTAATTTCAATGAATTTCTCATAAACTACTTTGCAAATGAAAGCAAAAAAGCCCCTGTAGTTTCCTAATTTTACTCAGAATAAATTTGAACAAATAAATATGGAAATTAAATGCTACTTATCAAAATATATTCACTCTTTCCCTAAGTCATGTGTGTGTACTCATTCATATGCACAGTGGGAAATTCAATTCATCTGGTCCCCTTGGGTACACTTTTGAGACTCATCCTTATCATCATTTATATCTCCAAACTGCATCCAAGAGGAAGCTTACCAATAGTGATTGTTTATTTTTGTAGGCTTTGAAGAAGTTGGAGTGCCAAAGAAGACCTTTGAAGTGTGAAAATTCCTGTAACTGAAACCAAAATGTCTTTCATAGATCCTTACCAGCATATTATAGTAAGTAATTTACTATTTTTGTATTCTTTCAGGGAGAGGGGCTGATATATTTCCATGTCTGTGTATTGCTGGTGTTATTGATAAAGCAAAACTCTATAATAATTCTTTGAATTTTTAATTGAATTTATAAAATTAATGTATAATATTAATATAAAACAGGCTACAGTACATAATTAAACTAACACATGTCTTTTTTTTTTTTTTTTAAATCACTGGAAGTTTCTAGAGAAGAGGGACTTAGGAGGAAAAATTACCAAAACATTTGTGATAATACTGAACTTCATGGAATAATTTTAAAAAATGAAGCTAAGCTAGCACTTAGCTATCATCAGATTGTAGAGTTCCATCCTTCACAAGACAGTGAAGAGAAGATTCACAGATTTTTGGGTTCAGGGCTATGTTTTGGTATGCATTTCTGGGACAATTAATTCCGTAAACTTTCCCTTAGTCAGAAATGTTTAAACAAACTCTTCTATGGTTGGTTAGCTTTTAGTGAAGAGTTGAATAATTCAAATTTAATAATAGAATGTAATTTTCCAAACTCCATGGGAAATATGCATTCTTTTTTTCTGATCAAAACCCAGAGATTTCCTTGCCAAATACAACAGATGAGACTCAGATTTATTGTGTTAGAAATGGGATTTATGAATATTAAGATAATCCACAGCCTCATTTTTACTTAAAATGAAACAATGTCCTTTTATCCAACATCCTTCTCCACTTTCTATTTCCTTTCTTGCCCTGCCTGGATAGTGGGGTTAATGGGTTTCAATTCTATGTAGTGCTTTCTTCCATTCTGCTCACAATCACTGGAAACTGGGCTCAGCCTTTCTTTTCATTGAAAGCTCTCATCAATTTATTCCTCAGTGCTAAATCAATGATTTCCCAGTTTCTCTCCCTGACTCAGCTGGGCATTCTTGTCTTGAGATTCTTCTCAGATTTCTTCTGTTCTTGTTTTCTTGCTGTTGATTACGTCTGTTTTCTTTTGCAAGTTTCTCTACTTAACTCTCTCTCCTTTTTCTTTTTCTTTTTTTAAATTGAAGTATTACATGTGTACTCCATCCATAAAACCATAACCCAGGTAAAATATTCGTTATAAGTACTCTAGAAGGCTGGCTCATGTCTATTACAGTAAAAAAACCTACCAAAGCAAACCAATATTTAATCTCTATTATCATGTTTTTCTTGTCTTTGACTTTTGTATAAATATCTGCATTCAACATCATCTGTGAGATTCACTAACATTGTCATGTGGCACAAAATTCCATACTTTCCCATTGTAATATACTGTTATATTATCAGAATATACCCCGAACTCTTTATCTAGTCTACTGATAACAATAATATCCTCACTGAATGGCAGTAGTAATTTGCTTTAAATAAAAACCATTATGTGTGGCTTGGTCTATTTCCTAATTGGTGTATTAGTCTGTTTGCACCAATACCAATCTTTCTTAATCTCTGTGCCTTTAAGATGTGTCTATATATGATGGTGTATACCCTCCAATTCTTTCTTCAAGATTACCATGGTTATTTTTACTCCTTGTTTTCATATACATTTTGGAGGCAGTTTGTCCATTTAAACACACACACACACACACACACACACACACACACACGGCACAAACTGCTAGAATTTTAATTGGACCAAAATGATTTTATAAATCAATTAGAGAAGAGATGACAGTAATGATAATGAATCTTCCAATTCATTAATAACCTGTGAATCCAATCTGAAACAAAATAAATCACCTTAAATCATTCAGTAATATATTGTAATTTTTCAGTAAGAAATCTTGTATGTCTATGTGCTTATGAATCTATAAGCATATACATGGAGAGATTTATTTCTTGATACTTAATGTTTTAATGTAATTATAATGATATTTGAAAATTTTATTTTCTAGTTAGTTGCTTTTATATGGAAATGTAATTTATTTCTGTAGATCCAGTGACCTTACTGAATTTCTGTTAATTCTAACAGTTTCTTTGTACATGCTTTGGACTTTCAAATTAAACATGTCTATTATTGATGAATAATGTCAATTTTATTTTCTCTTTTAAAATTTTTTAAAATTTATTGGTTAGTTTTAGTTGCACATGATACTCAAATCCATTTTGAAATAATTATACAAGCATAGGATTTATCTTATTCTAGATAGGACCCTGTCTTGTGGATGTACATGATGGTGGGATTCACTGTGATATTTTCTTGTATGTACATAGGAAAATTATGTCAGAGTCATTCCACTGTCTTTTCATTTCCCTGTCTTTTCTTTTCTCTCCCTTCCCTCCATTCCCCGTTGTTTAATCTACTAAATTTCTATTCTCCCTGTCACCCCCTTTTGTGGGTTAATTTCCACATGTCAGAGAAAATATTCAACCTTTGGCTTTTGGGGACTGGCTTATTTCACTTAGCATGATAGTGTGCAGATCCATCCACTTACTGGCAAATGTCCTAAAGTCATTCTTACTATGGCTGAGTGATATTTTCTTTTTAGAATCTTGAAATGGTTATTATTATATTGTAGATCATCTATTTTAAATTTAATCTATAAGTTTGGAAATGGTATTTCATAATTATTCAGTTCAAATATTTTCTTTCACTGTAATTTATTCTTAGACATGATTATATAGACATGTACTTTTTAGTTTTCAAACACTTGATAATTTTTTACTTGCCTTTGTTATTGGTATATAATTCCATTGTATTCAGAAAGATACTCCATAAATTTTTTTGTTTTTTAATATGTTTATATGTGGTTTGGCCTAATATGTTATCTATGTTGATAAATATTTAATGTGCAAAATTATATTCCATATTTAACTTTTGTTTTTCAAATTTTGAAGTTATATTACATTCTCTAATTAGCTTATGTATCCTTTTACTTTGAACTTATATATTTTCCTTGTATTTAAAGCACAAATCTTATAAAAAGCATACAATCAGTATTTCTTTTAAAAAAAATACTATGAGGTAATCTTTGTTTTCTTAAACAATATCTTAATTTCCTTTCACAGTTATGGATTTCTGTAGATGAATGGAAAAATTAAGGTAGTTTTAAAACTGCTTTCCATATTGTTTTTATATCTTATATATACATTAATTGCTTCTTATTCTATCACCTTAAGGGAGATGAGTAGTTTCTATAGCTGTCAGAGAATTTAATATAAATGTAAATCCTCAAACTTTAACATGGAAACTGGCCTTCAAAACTGAGAAGGAAGAAGAAAGATAGGTTAAGTTCTGTGACCTGAAGCTTGAGATAAGACCAATAACAATTTCCAATCCTAATATCTGGACTTTCAATTCATTCTATATCTATATATATATTTCAATTTTTAATTGAGTGCTTATTACCATTTATTGAATACCAATCCATGTCAATAAGCACTGTGTATACAAAGAAACTCCAACAAAGTTCTTGATTAGTATGAGCCCATCTCTAGCAGAAAAGATGAACAATTTGTTTATAATTACAACAATTTTTAGTAAGGACTCTAGTAAGATACAATGAAGATTACTCTCGTAACATACAACAGGATAATTAATGTAAATGACTTGTAACCATAACCTGAAGATTTAGTAGGAGTTAGGAAAAGCATGTGTGAAGCAGTCTGGAGGTAAGAACGTGCATGATTAAAAAAAATGAAAGATATTTAGTATAGTTAAAGCATAGCAGTTTTCAAAGAACATTATTACTTTGAATGAACTTCAGTCCTCTACCTGGCCTAATGAGGCCTTATAACTGAATGCTGTACCACCCCTGCACATCTCTTATTGGATATCTTTGAACTGACCATTTGGTCCTTCTTTGAGTATGAAGCCTATGCTTAGTATGTGTTTAAAAATCAAACTGCAGATGATATTTTAAGGTTCAGTACTAGCATCTTTTCCTGCAAATTTTATTAACTTAGTAATAAGACCATAGTAATCACCTATGTGGCATATTAATATGATGAAATGTGCAAACCTCACAAATCTGTATCACATTTTTCTTTATTTTCTCCAACACTGGAGGTAGGCATTCAAGTAGTATTCTAATCTTTATCCTTTTTGAAAAAATAAAAAGGATCCTGTGAGCTGCACGGCTTTCTTCAGTCGTCTTGTTCTTGCTCTGTGTACATCAAAACAAAACAAAACTGTGTGCATGTTTAGGTATAAATTATTTTAATAAAAAAATAATGCCCTGCTCTGGTTTTCACAGAAAGATTTTTTTCAAAATATGTAAGTGAACACATTCAACATGAAACAGTATTCGTAACGATTGGAGAGATGGGGGAAAATCAAGCCAGCTGGCTTGTAATGAGCACTTGGTGGCAGGCAGGCCAGCACCCTTTGGCAGCCTCAAGGCACAAAAGATTGGACTTATTGTCACCATAACTGTGATGCAGGGACATGTTGAAGAATCCTGGGGGCTGAGGTCGCAGTTTGCAGCCAGCAAGCTCTCTAGTTTCCAATGGTGCTAACTTTTAAGAAGGAGTGATAAGAATGTGATACAATTTAATTCCTATTTGTCTAGAGTTGTCTTGAGGTGCTTTCCAACTTTAAAGATACTTGTGCCTTTTTATTTTTTTCTTGGACCAGGGAGTCATCAACTTTATATGGAAGAGATCAATTATAAAAGATTTATGAAAATTTCCATCTTTTTACTCTGAAAATATGAGTCATGTCCTTGGGATGAAAAAATCCACACCTCTTCCAACAACCTATTAGCAATAGAGAGCCACAGCCCACATCCACAGAAACTGAGGTTGTCTTCGTGTTAGAGACAGTCAACCCCATGTGGAAGGTCCTTTAAAAACACCATTGCAGAATGACTGGAAGTAGAAAAGTATTATTCCAGATTATTACAGTAACATAGGAAAAAAACACCACCACTGGATAAGTAATCAAAGAACTAGTGTTCCAGTGCCCCTTCTTGTCTGACCAGTTACGTGCTCATGAGCACTTGGACTCTGCCACATTTGGAAAACAGGGTATGAGTAGTACCTCATAT